TTTGGATAGCTGAATACTTTGTCTTTCAAGAAAAAGTATCGATAAGTGTTGGTTCTTCTTTACACGCGAATGCAAATTAAGTTTAAATTACTAATTTTAAGCCTTTGCAATCGGTCATTTTGGTGACCGTTGAGCCAAAAATCGTTTTCCTTGATTTTCTCGAATTTAAAGCGCTTCAAGCTCCAAAAAACTATATCACGTTTCATATCTACCTGAGGGCTTTTTGTGGACGAAAAGAGAGAAAAATCGATTTTTCGACTTCTGCCGCTAAATTCAAATTTTGCTTGCTTTTCGGTGACATTCGCTCTTAAGTGGTTATGGTGCACTTGCCAAATTAATCATATGCAATAAATTTTGATTGGTACTTTAAGTGTCAGTGCTTTCTTTACTGCAGGTGGCTGAAATCTCAAGCCAAGAAAGATGGAGTTGATGTTGAAATGACAAAATATGATGGTTAGTCACTACAAGCTTTTTCATCTTCTTTTGTTTCATGACTTTTTATATCACCCGCAAAATTTTTACAGTACATTGTTGTGTAGGACTCTTTAAAATTCTTAGTCTTTGTGGAGAAAGACAAAACATTGTTTCAAAGTTGTGAACATCTCCAGGGTAACATACTGTAGTGCAAGTGTCAGCTTTCTTTATTTTACTCAATATTGCCTGCTTCAGGTGGTTTTCACTAGAGATCATGTACATGCAGATGAAAAATGGCTCACGGCATTAATTAGTTTCATCATGAATGATTTTTGTAGAGCACACCAGTAATTATTTGTACTTTTTCTCCACAGCTGTAATGTCCCTACTATAAAATGAAAGGAGATTTCATACCAAGGCTTGTCACATTTTTTCAAGTTGCTATAACTCTTCCGATCATAACCCATTGACAAACATGCAGTGATAAAAATTTATGTGGGACATATACATCACATGAGATTGCCTTACATTTGTATATAGAGGTTTTAGCATCAGAATCATTTCGCCTCCTACATGATGTTGCCAAATATTACACTGGATTATAATTAATTTTATGTTTTACCTTTTTGCATGTTTTTGAACATGTGCTTATTGGTCAATTTTTTACCTTGGTACTTTGAAATCATTTAACTGTGTTTTTACTCCTGTGACAACAGGTGAATGGTCATTTGAGGAGCCAATAACCAAGTTATTCATTGGAGATGTAGGACTTATTCTCAAAGTAATTTGATACTCTATATTATTTTGCCTTTAACAGTGCCTGGCAAGTAATAAAACTGTTGATATTCAACATACTGAAGATCAATCGTTCAAAGACAATAATTCTTGTTCCTGAGCTCAGGCTGAAGTGTAGGCACTGTATTAAGATGCTAGTTTGGTTTCAGGGTATATAGTACAATTTTACCATTTTGTCAGGTTTTGCAAAATGCATGAGCTGTTAGTAGCCATTAATTTTGAACATGGGCATCAAAGTAATAATCTTCTATGTACTAATCTCCTGTTTGTTGATCTGTAGTCCAAGGCAAGGCACCATGCGATTTCTTCCATGCTGAAAAAACCATTTGAGTTCAAGGACAAGCCATTTGTAGTCCAGTGAGTATACCAGTATTTCCTTCTTTTTTATCCCTGAATAAATTTTATTTGCCATCCTTACTTCTCCATTGGTTCCTATCAGATGTTGAATACTGTTTCAGTCTATATAAAAAATAATAATAAAAAAATTACTGTTTACATGTAATTTTCTGCTTGTATGAACTTATTTTTGACGCTCGCACAGATCATTGACAGTCTGGCTTGATTTAATATGGAATAATTTTCTTCTCAACCATTGCCAGACATTTGAAAGGGAAATTGTATTTAAATTTTTGCACACATGTATAATGTTAAATAATTAGTCAGGCGATCCAACTATAAATTTACCCTCGTATTTCCTGTCAAAGCTCAGTCCCATGCAATGGGCAATACTGCAGACATGTAATAATGGCTCAACCTTCTTTCCACGATGTCTAAAGTCGATGCTGAAAAGGACAAGTGATGTTGAATATGTTTACAAATGGCGCCATCTTTTCTATGTTCAAACATACAGACTGACACACCGTTCGTGGTAGATCCACCCCAAAAAGTAGTCAGTGAGCGTATCTGTCAAAACGAGTCATTCCACGAACTCAAAATAGCAAAAGAAGCGAATGATTTTTAGCAAAGGTCTTACCAAAACCAAACCAGAAATCAAATGACTTATATGAGTTATCAATGAACAGAAAATGTTGACAGAGTGTTACAGTAACTACTGACGACAAAACAACTTTTACGAAAGTTTTTGGTGCTGATAAAGACAATGTGCACCATGATCAAACTCTAGGAAACAACAACAAAGATGCCATGTTTGACTGCAAAAGTGGCTTTCATCAGAGGGAAGAGAAACGTATTTGTCATATTTATGTGACCTCTGTCATGATTATTACATTAATTATGTTTCTGCTCAAACAGAGTGCATTATCAGCCATTATTTTTGTATTCATGCCATTAGTTTTGTCTCTTGTGTGTATATTATATTTGCATGTTGTGCATGAATGTTTGTGTGGTATCAAATAATGTGGTGTCAGATGGATGTGATGTATTCTTGGTCTTCATGTGACGCAGTATTTTTAAAAAAACTAACTTTTCTTCGGAGGTTTTCATAAACTTGACATTTTACAATGTTTTAGCTCGACAAGGGTCTTTGTTTTGTAACAGGGCACGTATGAGTTTCCACACTTTTTCGTTGCGTGACATTAGGAAGGCTGTCGCGTAGGTCAAAAGATGAATTATCACTAAAGCTTTTATTAACTGAAAAATTCTTGCACTAGAAGAAAGTGTCGGAAGAAAGTGTCGGAACTCTAGAGTAACAATTTTTCATTTCAATAGCAAAACTGAATGGCAGATGTTTCTGATAATTTACGGCTGCCATATTTGTGCCCCTTCATGGGGCACCGGCAAAACTCTATAAATTTGGGTGAAACACTTCTCTGGATAATGCACGTTTGAAAAGTGCAGAAACCAAATGGCGAGGTTGTTTATATATCAATCATCTATCATATTCCACATTCTTGACTTTATTGAGTTATTTTTTTGTAAAAAAAATACCTCTTAGTCAGCGCGTTGGGTATGTTATGGACGGGTCAATGG